ATTCCTTACTAGCACAGTTTAGTCTTGTTGCAGTCCTGTTCATCCATTGCCTGTTATTTATAAACAACATATAATAACAACTAGCATTTGTGTGGTGCTCTAAAACTTATGGTGTTTTACATGTCGCACAGCTCAATGTCAGAGGTGGGATTTGCACCCAGGTCTTCCTGATTTGAAGTCTAATCTCCATCTTCTATCTCATCCTGCTTTTCCATCACCATTATCATCAACATAAATTTTAATGAAGCCATGATCTTATCAATGCGGATACATATCCATACCTCATGCTGTGCTATGATTTTGTCCATGGCCTTCTATTATAGAAAAATAAATAACTTACCCTCACAGAGCACTTTAAGATATCCAAAGCACATTTACCACAACCCTCTGAGGCAGGTAGCATCAGTAGTGTTATCCACATTTTACAGATGGGGATTGAGATACAGAGAAGTCACATATCAAGTAAATTATCAGAGGTGATATTAGAACTCCCAATTCACTTTCCACCATATTACAGTTCTTTGAAACAATTTAAGTACAATTTATGTTCTCAGTTATTCACAAAGCAATTTATCAGAACTGAATTGGTATAAATATGAATGCTAACTGTAATGTAAATTAGTATAATTTCCCAAGAACAGCCTTCTTAAAAAGGAAAAAAAAATCAATCTTCCTAGGCACATAATGTCATTGTTAAATTCTCTTTTCAATTTTGTTCCCAATTATAAGTTGATCATTATGTGTGTAGACAACAACACTAATAGACTGGAATACAGACACACATACTTCCATTTCAGAATTAGTGAAAAAAATAAGTGGTCTTTTTCTGATCATCTTAACATCTTTTGCTATTTCACCTTCAAATAAAGTTGGTTGTGATTATATGTTAGAAAATACCACATTAGAATTATGTTATCACTTACATTTTTAAAAAATTATATTGTTGCCCTTTGTTTCTATATTACTTCATTTCCAAATATATACCTTTACTCCATTCAGAGTCATCCTTTGTAACAAATAATAACAAAGGAATAAAGAAGGAATGGAGAAGTAGTTCAATAAAACTAACCAGTACATCCATTAAGTCTGATAGTACATATAATATGCCATACCCATAGGATGCCTCCTTCAAAATCACCACCAATGCAAAGAAGAGAGGAGATAAATTTCCTCTTTTTTGGGTTCAAGTTTGATCATGATAATTATAGTGTTCAGTTTCATGTTGTTGTTTCTATTGATATTGTTGTCTTTGTGTCTATTACTTTCCTGGTTCTATTAATTTCACTCTGTATCAGTTCATATATATCTTCCCATGCTTCTCTGAATTCTTTATATTCATTATTTTTACACTTATATTCACATATGTTAGCCAATCCCCTGTGGACATATGTTTTTGTTTCTAGTCCCTTGCTACCACAGGGATAAAAAAAAAAAAAGAGTTTTACAAATATTTTGGTGTATACAGGACCCTTTTTGTCTTCTTTCTTCTTTGTCCTCCTTGAGGTGTGTACCTAGTAGAGGTCGCTAGGTCAAACAGTGTAGGCATTTTACTCACTTTCTTAGTATAATTCTAAATTGCTTTCTAAAATGATTGGACCAAGAATCATATGGTCTGAACTTCCTTGTTATGAAGGGCTTCATTTGGTCCTTGGACACACTCAAATGAACCTGCAATCTCATTAATGTGGGGTTCCTTGCAATAATACAGATACTGTACCATCCATATCTGTTTATCCTCTCTTACTCTTATCTATGGTTACTTATACGTTAAGCACAGTAAACCCACTCAATGTTCTGAGGGCCTTCTTCACTTTCTCTTAATATTTTAAAGATACTAATAGAACACACAAACTCCATTCGTTAGCCTTCACTCTTAACATGTGATTAGTTCTTGCTCATACATTTCTTTGTTATGACATTTTTTACTCCAGACTTCTTCATAAATCCTAGTTTGTAATGTGTTATATCCTGTTTACACTTTGCATGCATCCCTCCATTGCCCTTTGAGTAATACTCATCTTACCTTCTGCAGAAACTGTAATGTGATATGACTTTCAGCCACATGCAATACTGATAAAATATTGCTGTTTTAAAAATGCACCTTTGTTTCATGGAGAAGTTTGGGTTATTAAATGAACAGTTGTTGTTCAGTCATGTCCAAGTTTTTGTGATCCTGTTTAGGATTTTCTTGGCAGAGATACTAGACTGATTTACCATTTCCCTCTCCAATTCATTTTACTAATAAAGAAACTGAGGCAAATGGGTCTAAGTGACTTGCCCAGAGTCACACAGCTAGTAAGTATCTGATTTGAACTGAGGAAGAGGAGTCTTCCTGACTCTAGGCCCAGCACTCACTCCACTGCGCCACCAAGCTGCCCACATTAGAAGAACTAATCAGCTTCAAAAGCTGGTCTAAGTTATTCTGCTCCTCCCTTTCCAATTCTGGGACTGACTCATTGTCAGTTTGTACTATTTGTTCAAAATATTTTACTTTCTATCTTACCAGTGTACACTAAGCACCACGGGACCTTTCTTTTTAATTTACAGTTGAAATTTCCTAAATATGCCATTTCCTGCATCAGAAAGGTAGCTTTCTGAGATCAGGAAACATCTCTGCTTTTCACACCTTCAATTCTTAGTAGAGTACTTTGCATATAGTAAGCACTTGATTTTTTAAAATTCTTGTATAGAGAAAGGCAGCATGGAGTAGTTGACAGAAAGCTGGCCTTGGAGTCAAGAAGACCTGAGTTCAAATACTACCTCAGACATTTCCTTGCTATGTGACCCTATGCAAATAACTTAAGCTCCTTTTGCCTCACTTTCTTCATCTGTAAAATTGAGTTAATAGTAGCACCCACCTCCCAGGGTTATTGTAAGAATCAAATGAGAGATGATAACTGTAAAGTGCTTTGCAAATCTCAAAGTGCTATATAAATGCTAGCTATTAGTATTGTTGTTACTGTTGCTGCCATTGTTTTATTTCCATTAAAATTCAGAGGAAGGTGTTATTACCCTGGGGGGAAAATGTCTTAGGTAAGGACATAGGAAGAGAGTAGAAATTGCAGACAAGGGTAATGAAGCATGCTTCAATTTGCATTCAGAGCTCATCAGTTCTCTCTCTGGAGGTGGATAGCATTTTTCATCATGGGTCCTCTGGCATTGTCTTGGATCATTGTCTTAATCAGAGAAGCTAAATCTTTCATAGTTGAGCATCCTTAAAATATAGCTGTTACTGTGTACCATGATCTCCTGGTTCTACTCACTTGACTTTGCATCAGTTCATACAAGTCTTCCCAGGTTTTTCTGAAACCATACTGCTCATCATTTCTTATAGCACAATAGTATTCCATCACAATTATGTACCACAACTTGTTCAGCCATTCCCCAATTGATGGGCATCCCCTCAATTTCCAATCTTTGCCACTACAAAAAGAACTGCTGTAACTATTTTTGTACAAATGGTTCCTTTTGTCTGGCATTGCTAGGTGGAAGGGTATGCACAGTTTTATAGCTCTTTGGGCATAGCTCCAAATTGCTCTCCAGAATGGTTGGACTAGTTCACAAGTCTACCAACAGTGCATTAGTGTCCCAATTTTTCTATATCCCCTCCAGCATTTATGATTTTCCTTTTCTGTCATGTTACCCAATCTAATAGGTATTAGGTGGTATCTCAGTTATTTTAATTTGTATTTCTCTAATCCATAGTGATTTAGAAAATTTTTTCCATGTGACTATTGATAGCTTTGATTTCTTCTGAAAAATGCCTACCTGTTCATATCCTTTGACCATTTATCAACTGGGGAATGGCTCTTATTTTTATAAACTTGGCTCAGTTTCTAGGAATACAATTAATTTTTTAAAAAGACAGTCCCTGCCCACAGTCTAATGGGGGGGGGGGGAGACAACACACAAAAAGAGGCAGAAAAGTGGAGGGTTGAGGGAGGGACAATGAATGGGACACCAGAGGGTGCCCAGTTTGAGGGCATCTTATTCTGTGGAGTTGAAAAAAAAAACAGGCAGGGCAGCAGATGAGGAGGGGAGCAAGCCCCAAACTCCAGTTTTTGCTCTCTATAAAGGAAGTCATCAGGTGGAGCTAGTCACTCCACCTTCTAGCCCTCCAGTCAGAAGAGAGAGGGGGCTGAGGGAGGTGGTATCAGTCAAGACTTGAGTTAGCAGCCTGTTGATGAGATTAGAAATGAGGGGTTTAACCTTGGAAGGCCACCTTGTATAGTGGAGTTGAAAAAACCAAGCAGGGCAGCAGATGCAAAGTGGAGAATAGGGTGCTAACAATGGACATGAAGAAGAAGGGGCATTTGTAGGATATATTGCAGTGGAAGAATTGCCAAAAACTTGATGAGTGACTGGGTGTTATGGAAGATTGAGGACAGCCAAGGGTGAATCTGGGGTTTTAAACATGGGATAGGGAGAGAGGATAAGGAGATGGTTTGAGGAGGAGGGATGATAGGTAAATAATACACTATATATTAGATTCACATATATTAAGAAAAAAATGAAAACCTTTATGAGTATAAAAAGAGGCAAAAATGGAATAATTATACTGCTTAAAATGAAAAATGAATTTCCATTTAGGCAATAACAAAGTATCAAGTAATCAAGTATTGGTACATTAAAGATAGATATAAAATATTGAAATACTTAATTGTCTAATTGTTTCAGGAAATTTTAAGAAAATCAGATTCTGGAAGAAGGATGTCAAAGGATATAATTATATTCAAACAAGATTTTAAAAGTTTTGGTTTGTGTTTTTGTCAAATGTTATTAATGATTATAAAAAGGCATGATATCTAATTATATATATAATATAAATAATTTTTTAAAATGTTAGGTCTTGTTCTGCTTTGAGCATTTTGGTATATCCCCATAGTTAGCCATTTAGCTATGGACATTTTTCCTATGTAATATTGTATTGATAAACTCATTCATTTATTTAAAATAATTGACTTTCTCTAGACAAAATAAAGTGTTGTGCTACATTACAGCCTCACTGTTAGGAATGAAGATAGAGGTGACAATGCGGGAAGGCCAACACATACAACAAAAATGGAGAGTATCCAGGCAGTAGAAGAATGGTAAGTTTAGATGCTATATTGATAATTATATCTTGTGTTTATATGGCATCTGTATTCAGTGACTATTAGGTTTTTCACTTTTTGTTTTTTTTCAGAATCTAATATATCCACCAAACACCTTCATAGCCTGGGTTACAGCCAAATGTGTTCAACTAGGTTTTGCTCCTTCAGTGTGCTTTTTTCATCAGATATTTCTCAAGATACCATTGTGTTATTATAAATGGTGTCAGAAAGTTACCCAATTCCATAGCCTGTTAAGCCCTATCTCTCTGATTCATACAAAACCAAGATTGTTACCTGAGTTATTCGTAAAATTACCCTAATTCATCACTTCTCATTTCTGAGGTTACCTTTATTGTTCTTATTTGTAATGGAGACTGAAACATGAGGAAAATCAGTTTCTCATGTTTTAGTCTCCATTACAAATAGGAAAAATAAAGAAAACCTCAGAAAGAGCCAAACTGACTTATGCTAGTTATAGTTGGTATTTATGTGTAAGGGTCAAAACCACACACACACACACACACACACAGATATGTTATGTATCAATGTCTATATACAAATAGAGATGGCAGCTAGGTGGTGCAGTGGATAGAATGCCAAGTCTAGAGTCAGGAAGACTCCTGTTACTGAGTTCAAATGTGACCTCAGATACTTATTAGCTGTGTGACCCTGGGCAAGTCACTTAATTCTGTTTGCCTCAGTTTCCTCATCTCTAAAAAGAACCAGAGAAGGAAATGGCAAACCACTCCTGCATCTTTGCCAAGAAGACCCCAAATAGGGTCATGAACTCAGATACAACTGAAAATCAACTGAACAACAAAAATATATACATAGAAACATAACATGTATCTGTAGACATGGATGTGTAATATGCACATCCATATAATATTTTATGGTTTGCCAAGTAGCTTAGATACATTATCTCATTTAATCTTCACTATAATACAGTGAGATCAGTAGTGTGAATATTAATCCCATTTTACAGATGAGGAAACAAAGATCCAAAGGGCTAAGTCTTCCCAAAGTCAAACAGATAGCTAGTACTAAGTTAGTACTCAGACCTAGGACTTCTCACTTGAAATTCAGGACTATTTTCCCAATATTTCAGCAATCAGTTGACTCTCCACTAGATCATACTTTAACAAAAATGTTAGGTCTAAAATGAATCAAAAGCTCTAATTTGAGATCCACCAAAGGAAAGGAAAACTACAATATAAGTAAATTCTCTGTATAATGATAAATGGTATAATCTTCACTACTTCTTACGGAGAAGTTTTAATGACAGTACTTGATAATAATTTTCTTGCTTACTTATATCTTTTAAAGTGAGTAAAACAGGAAGTTTGGGCATGAGAGAATAGTAACAAGGTTATTTAAAACACAAAATAGAAAGGATATAATAGAAATTATCTTTCTTATGAATAATTCCTTGACCAATATAATTTAAAACAGCAAGATATTATATAAATTGTTTAAATTGAGAGTAAACTCAGGCAAGTTTTACTTTGTAGAATCTTTAGAGGAAAAGTTAGTAGAGAGAAGATAACATGTAAAAGAATGGTACCAGAACCAGTGATTTTTATAGATCCTGGTTGCTCAGACAAGTCTGTTCTGATAAAGTTGGTAAATTCCTACATTCACCCCTTTTGTCTTTTCAACCTGTCAATGTATTCAGGATTTTTTTTTTAATTTTCTTTTTTTTTTCAGGATTTTCATAAAGCCTATATGCATATTCAAAGTGTAATAAATTGGACTGTAGCTCTTTTAGAAATAATCTGTAAAGAATATTTGAAGGCAAATTAATTAAATTTAAGAACAGCAACATCACACAATTATGCTGTGCATTTTTATTTCGGAGCCTGTGATCAGTACCATTGATAAGAAGATAAACTCTATCTTGGGGCTTAGAGAATTGAAATCCATATGAGCTATGAGAAGAAAATTCAATTGGCCCTTAAGTGTGGTTGGCTCATAATTCTTAACATACCTACAATCCCAGTTATTAGCTTTTAAAAGTTTTTAAATTGAACAAGGATTTTCTGAAGACTCTGTATTGGTTGTACCTTCTTGTTTGTTACACATTGAGCTTCCTTCCACACAGATTGTCTCCCTGTGAATGTTTGACTAAGTCAGAAGCAGAATCACAACCACCTCATACATAAATCAGAGGCAAGGGAGTAGTGTACACTTTTGTATCAGCATTTACCAAGAAACAGCACACAATTTATATATTAATTTCTGTCTAAGACTTTCTTTTTGAATTGAATCAGTAAAGAGGAAGGAAAGGAGTAGGGTGCTCCAAATGTACCATTAACTGGTTAGCTGTGCAGGTCAGCATCAAGCCAGTCAATAACGGTGTAACAACCCTCCAAAACCTTACTGGCTGATGGGATACTGGCAGCATAGCCATCCAGTAACATTGGGGGAAAGGTGCAAGAAGAGCACTTTCCTCCCTTCTGAATTTTCCTGAGACTCATCATGATTTCTGAAGTGCCACCAGTACAAAATTCCTACATGCAACCCTAGTTAGAACCTAGCTGATCTATTCCTGATGTTTATTTGTGAGATCAGTGCAGGGATGAGTGGGTAAGAAGTCAGGTGTGATGTGTGAAGTATATTTACCCAGTTTTATGCTTGAGCTGTTTTTGCATTCCACATTTCTTAATTCTTGATTCTTATTGAAACACTAAATACTGTAAACATAGTCATTAAAAAAAGAAACAAGCTACCACAAAATAAGTAATCCATGTTCTTTTGAATAATCGTTATGTGTGTCCTAAGGTAAGGGGCATTCTCTTGGCACAGCTTTACCCACAGACTTGTAGAATAAATTTCAGAGCTAGAACGAATTAAAGAGACCACTTCATCAACGTGGAAACTGGTCTGAGAAGTAAAATGATTTGGTCAAGGTTCACAGAGCTCATCCCAGGCTGACCTGAGTAGCCTGGTATTAGCTTACAACACAGCAGGACTTAGGCATTAAGGTTTCTCTCTACTAGTCTCCTCACCATCAAAACCCACCTACTAATTGTCATGTTGGGAAAGACCTGATAAGTTACTTTATACTACAGTATAAATGACTGACACTCGATCAATGTACTGAATGTCCATGGAGTAATGACATTTTCATAGGGAACAATCTTCTAACTTAATGTTAAGCTTGAAGACTTGAATTTCTTACAGTGGCATTTCTAACATCAGTTATAGGGCATGTGGAGGGGGGTAGGGTGAAGGATGATGTTTTCTTGGAGTCCCTCAAATGATACTCATAGGTATACATTGCATATTACATTAGGGTGCACATCTAAGGAGTTTTGTTTTCATTTACTTTAAGGCGAACATTTCCTGAATATTCATTCCTACTAAAGAAACTAAAATTTAACTAAACTTAAGAATAATACACATGAAAACAAGAATCCGTACCTTAAAACTAAAAGAACATTCTCAAGAAATTAAATTAAACTGCAAAGCCACTTCAAAAAAAATTAACATGTACCCAGGCACACATGGAACACCCATATATGCATGTCTGTGATGATACTATTAATAATTAATGGTAGTATTAAATCATACTACATAGGTTACCTATTCCACTGAGGCACGATACCAACCTAGGACCTATAGTGACTGAACATAGGAGTTCTGAAGTCATTTCAGGGATCTCAGGCAGCACTAACTTCACAAAACTTTTTTCCTCTTCCTATTGTAATGGCCCTGTTCTTTTTCTATAGCCAAAATCCCACCCCAGATGAAATTATGTCCTGGTCTCAAAATTTTGACAAGATGATGAAGACGCCAGCTGGGAGAAATCTCTTCAGGGAATTTCTTCGAACAGAATACAGTGAAGAGAACCTACTTTTCTGGCTTGCATGTGAAGACCTAAAAAAGGAGCAGAACAAGAAAGTTGTTGAAGAAAAAGCCAGGCTTATATATGAAGATTATATTTCTATACTGTCACCCAAAGAGGTAAAAATCTGGGAAAACTCTTGTCACCAACGGGATCTAACCTGGGACTGATTCTCATTAGGTGCAGATTGCATATGGCCCGGATAGGTTGGAGAGCTTCATTTGGGTGGGGGTTAGGTAGCTTTGGCTCTAAAAATAACCCATTCACTTATTCATTCATCTTTCATTGTATTAAATAGACATTTATTAAGTATTAGCTGCATGCAGATCACTGCCCTAGGTAATGGAAGAAGGAGATAAAAGAGATAAATATGGTTCTTTTCTCTTTATATGGGACAGGCAAGTTTCAGTGAAGAAGGGATGATAAACCCAGGATGGCCAAATTCAGGTAGATGCTAACTGGCAAATCTAGATTCAGTTAGAGGGCATCACTGGGTATGCCTATGATGAATTGTGGGAAATTAACTGAAAGGAAGTAAAGGAGTGCAGAAAAAAGAGTTGAAAAGGCATGCAAAAGACTTAATCTGCTTTATAATTATGCTTGGATAGTGCTGTTCAGAATATGTGGATATTGGTGTCTCTCTAGTTTAGCACAAAGTCCTTTGTTCCTTACACTGAATCTCATTTGCTGCTGAGGGCAATAGGTTTTGAACTATTTTTTAATTAGCAAGAATTCACTCACTAACACATAATGCATAAATACTTTAAAAAACATTTCTGTTGATGTTGAATTACTTCAATATTGCAAAAAACAAACCAAAAAAAAAAACAACTGTGATCTCGTAGTGTTGGTATCCCTCTCTACAGATGAAGTTCAGAGCCCCTCTATGTCTTGGTAATTAGGTTTACGAGTGGCTGTGGCCAAAAAAATTTATCATATAATATTTAGACTTATAGTGATGAACCACCCTAAACTTAGCAGGATAGTCCTCTCAACAAGAGTCAGTTGCTGGGCTAGTGTCCAAAGCCTTTCTTGCTTGGTAAAGCTTTCCAGAACTGGTGCTCTGTTGACAAAACCTTTGAGAACCCAAGGTCATTCCCACAACATAATGAGGAATGCCACTTCAAGTTAAGGATTATGAGTCTGTTTTAAATTTACAGTTTCTGACATTATTGAAAAGGAATATTGTATAATAGGATATAGTACTATAGAAGAAAAAAAGCACTGGACTAGGAATCCAGAGTCCTGGTTTCTAGTTTTGGCATTGCCAACTGCATGACCATGGACAGGCTGCTGAACCTCTCAGGGCCTTGAATTCCTTAACTATAAAATGAGGGTGTTAGACTGAAGAATCTTCAATATTCCTCCCATCTCTGATTCAATAACTAAGACTTTAAGCACTCAGAATTTTAAAAAAAAACACAGCTGAGTAGTCCATTAAAGAATGATAACCAGGAAGCTTCAGAATGTTATGATCTTGGTCATGACTAGTAAAATTGCATTTTGTTTTTTCTTGGCTTTCAGTTTAAATTTATTGCATTTTAATAATTATGTAGAAAATATGGACAACTTAAATTGTATATGCCCATGTGGCTCTTTTTTCATAGGTACGGTACTTGAGCTGACATGACACAGAGTTTTCTTTCAACCTCGTTATAAAATTGACTGAGGTGGTACCCAGGAGATATTATATTGTCTTTTCTTGTATGATAAAATATATTAAGGAGAAAAGAAGATAAAGTAAAAAGTTGCTAACAAGTTAAACAATAAAATAGGATTACTTCCAAGAGTAAATTAACACTTTCTAAGATTGCCTAAAGGGAAAAGCAGATTAAAATAATAAAGAAGAATTTACAACTAATAGGAACATTCATTAGCAGATAGAACAGATCCTAGTGTCAACTTATGTCTATTAAGCACTGGAAATTTAGGTCCAATAAAATTAAATGTAGCAATAGAAGGCCTACAACATGTTTAAAAAAAAAAAAAAAGGAAGGAATTAACAGCTATAAAAAGTAACCAAGATATTGAAAGAAGTAATTTTAAAAGGATTCTCTAAACGCAAATCTTACCTAGATAAGAAAGAATTTGGCGTATCTAGTGGTATACACAGGTCTGCTTCATGGTGGTATTAGCTGATTTTTAGCAGCTCTCTCACACTCTGTCTGCAATCTTGGATAAGTCATTTCAGCTCTCCAGACTTTTTTTCATCTATAAAATGAGACAGACTAGATCTCTAAGATCCCTTCTACCAGTAATCTTCTCTAGTTTTATTAATTTCTTATCCCTACAGGGCAATGATTACCTCAGATTGTAACCTATATTCCTAATTGCCATGAAACAATAAAAATAAGAATAATTTCAAAATGTAAAAATTATATGATTTTATCATCTCCACTAATTATTAAATTAAATTATTTATTAGCTTCCTTGCCTCTAGTCTTCCCCCTCTAAAATTCATCCTCTGTATGTCTGCTAAATTGATATTCCTAACGTGCTAGTCTGACTATATTGCTCTCTTCATCAAGAAGCTTCAGTGGCCCCCTATTGCTTCTAAGAAAAAATGCAAACTCTTGATTGGCCATTTAAGTTTTATGCAATCTGACTCCAATCTATCTTTTCAGGTTTATTATATAACTTCTTGATCTCAGACATTCCATATTCCACTTGCTGTTCCCTCTGCATTACATCCTATCTCGCATCCCTGTGACTTTGTTTGGGCTGCCTCCTGCTTTCACCCCTGAAATACACTCCCCCTCTACCTCTTGGAATTCCTAGCTCACTTCAAGGCATTGATTACTCCAGTTGGTAGTGCCACCTTTACCCATCACTTTGTCTTTACTTTGTATATATTTTAATTTACTTATTTGTAGCCATATCATATCCCCAAAGTTAAATAGAAGATCCCTGGGTGAAGACACTCTTTTTTTTTGTATATTTGTATCCCAAATTCCTAGTACAATGTGTAACACAAAGTAGATGTTTAATAAATATTAATCAATCTTGATGAGCTCATTTGATCATATCTATTTTCTATTGGGCCATTTGGATAGCTTATAGACTAGTAAGTCATGGGTAGATAGGATTAATTAAATATTCAGTTTTCCCTTTTTGATACTTTTGTCATCAATTTCACAGCATAAAAAACTTCAGAGCAGCTGGACCCTGCAAAACATCATATTCACAGTTTTAACAGAGAAGTAAATTGAAGCTCAGAGACATTAAGAAACCCTCAGAGTTACATAGCTTTAGTAATTGGCAGAGTCACGAGCCTCAACCCCCAGTTCCTCTGACTCTAAATCTAGTTTTCTCCAGTGAGCTTGTGATTCAATCTAATAAAAAAGTTCCTGCTGAAGACAAGGATGCCATAATCTGAATCAATCTCCTGTTACTATGGTAGACTTCTCAGGGTTTATATTTGTATCTTGCGTTTGCCGAATACCCCTGACTAATACAGAAATATTTCTCAAACAAGCAGTAAGCTATTAAAGTATGCATTTATTAAAAAAAAATCAAATGCCTGTAATTTTTAAAAAGTATATTTTAGCCACTAGTTACTAAGTGTGTAATTTTTTTTTCACTTACTGTTGTGCCAAAACATTGTTAATCATTAATTTCCTTATGGTTCTTGAGCACAGAATAATGTGGACATAAGTTACTTTGGTTTCTTAGAATTGTGCTATCCTTTTCTTCTGCCTTAAGAAAGCTTATGTGATCTCAGATAGTGGTTTGAAACTCATATTTCTATAAGCTAGCAGCTTTAAACTTTTCTACATTTTTGGATTCTTAAGAATCTTTCTTCATAATTAATGAGACTTAGTCTTCTGTGATAATTAATATTTTTCTTAAGTTTGAAATTGAGAACTGTAACTGTTTTGCACAATCTCTGTATGTCTGTATTCTTGTTCACCTAAACACTGGAGTGGATTTAGAAAATCTTCATCTTGCCATCACTCTACAGTTGAAAATAAGCTGAATCAGGTTAAGATCAAAAATTTAAATGTCCACTGAGCAGAAACCCAAAGGATACCTTAAAGAAAAGGGGGAAAAACATTAATAAAGAGACACTGACCATACTGGATAGTTTATTTAACAAAAGGAGTGTCATGCAGCCTTGTAACTGAAACTGAAGCATATTTTAAGTGACTCATTTCCAGATTTTTCTTTATTTGGGGGATTTATAAGAAAGACAAGAATGTAGGATGGCAGAGAGCTATTGGCTACATACCCAAATTACCTTTTAATGACTGAACCTCAGAATTTTGTTCCAAATCAATAAGCCCTAGGCCAAGAGTCCTTAATTTTCTTCATTCATTCATTCATTTATTTATTTGCATCATGGACCTCTTTGGTAGTCTGGTAAACTCTTTGGAATCTTTCTCAGAATAAATTTTTAACTGAATAAAATAAAATACATAGAATTACAAAGAAAACTAAATATGTTGAAATATAATTGTCAAAAATTTTTTTGAAACAAGTTCACAAACCCCACATTAAGAACCCCTGCCCTAGAAAATTTCAGCCAGAGTGTATAAATCAATATTGCATCATCTGTAGACATGGGGAAACTGGGATAAATCCTGGGATTATATTACTGTGACCTGAACCAGAGCTGAGGCCTACTCTAGAAGCTTGCTAAGCCCTTTAGGAGGCAAGTGAGAGAAAAGGAAGAAAGTCAGAACCAATAGGGATTCTCCAAGATACTTTGACCAAAATGAGTGAACTCTCTGGGCATGGCATAAATTTAAACCCACATATAAGATTTTGAATAAACAGGATAAGACTTGAACACAATGAACAAATCAAACAACCTTTCAAATCACCAATGCTAGCCCTTGTTTTCCAATGGAATAACAAAAAAAATTATCAATAGTTTCTTACTTCATAATCTGGAAGACCACCGTTCAGGTCCTTTCTGTGATACTTACTAGCTTCTTGACCTTGGACAAATGCTTTAACCTTTGTGAGCCTTTGAGTCTTCCTCTGCAAAATGGAGATCACAGCACTTACACTACATATCTAACTCATATATTGTACCAAAGTACCTTGTAAAGATAAAAGAACTAACACCAATATGAGTTACTTTGTGAGTTTCTTGAGGAAAGTGACTATCCTTTCCCTTTCTTTGTATCCCCAATGCTTAGCACAGTGCCTGGAACATAGTAAAGTGTTTAATAAATATTTGTTAATTAATGGATTGAGTTATTATTTAGGGTTAATTCTGATCATAAATAACAGGATGAAGGTATTTCACATCCCTGTCATGGTAGAATTCGGGTCCTTCTCCCAAATCTTCTACTATGACGTGGGTGCAGTTTTTGAGCTGTCCACCTATTATCCCTTACTCTCACTACATAAAGAAAACTTTTGAATGGTACCTGATCTGAAGGGCCTCCTTATATATTCTTAAGACCTTTCTGTTGCTACTAAAAGAAAAATAAAATTCTACCACCCTGTTGGGAGTTGTATTTGATGTCATGCCCTATCTAGAACTGAGTAACTAGGATTGGAGAGTATATGTACCACCCATATCCACACTTAGCCTGCTGGTGGGGTCTGACTGCCTCAAGTTTCTCCCAACTCCAATCCATTCTCCATTCAGCCATCAAAGTGATTTTCCTAAAGCGCAGGTCTGATCAGGTCTCCTCCCTATTCACAAAATCTGGTGGTTCCTTATTGCCTTCAAGAGCAAATACAAAATTTCTGTTTGGCATTCAAAGCTCTTCATAACCTAGCCCCCTCCTACCTTTCCAGTCTTACATTCTACTCCCCACCATGTACTCTTTGATCCAATAACACTGGCCTCCTGGTTATTCTTCTAACAAGACGCTCCATCTGTCTACTCCAGGCATTTTCTCTGGCTGTTCCCCAGAGCTGGAATGTTCTCCCTCCTCAACTCCTCCTACTGACCTTCCTGGCTTCCATAAAGCCCCAGCTAAAATCCCATCTTTTTATAGGAAGCTTTTCTCAACCTTTCTAAATTATAATGCCTTCCCTCTATTATTTATTTTCTATTTATCCCATATATATATAGCTTGTTGAGGGCAGGGACTATTTTTGCACCCCCCCCCCTTTTTTTTTAAATCCCCAGTGCTAAGAACAGTGCTTGGCACATAGTAGCCACTGAATAAATGTTAATTCATTGATTGATTGATTGGTAAAGGTGTAAATCAAAGACCTCAGTAAAGATGTAAGCATCTTATATAAAAGAATTTCTCTTTTTCAGGATCTCTGTTTCACCATTTAGAGAGCCCCCCAGCAGAAGGTCTAATATTCTGTTTTGTTGTATCTGACTCTTTGTGACCCCATTTGGGGTTTTTTTTGGCAGAGATCCTGGAATAGTTTGTCATTTCCTTCTCCAGCTCATTTTACAGATGAGGAAACTGAGGCAAACAGGGTTAAGTGACTTGCCCAGGGTCACAAAGCTAGTAAGAGTCTGAGTCCTGATTTGAACTCAGCAAGATGAGTCTTCCCAACTCCAGACCCAGCACTATCAGCCCAGAAAACCTAAACAGAATGTAAATAGATGGGGATGGATTTGTTTTAGAATCAGGAAATCTTTTATTGTATTGTCAATGTATGAATGCTTTAAACTTCCTGAGGAAATGTACGTATTTCAATAATGTCAATGAATCTGGGATAACAATGGCATAGATCACAACATATCCATGCCTTCTCAGTCTGTGTGATTCTTTTCTATATACTCCCATAAATCCTCCATCAGGAGCCACTTGACTTGCTCAGGTCCTTCTTCCAAATTTTCTACTATGGCATGGGTGCAGTTTTTGAGCTGTCCACCTGTTACCCCTTGCCCTCACTCCATAAACTGCCTCTTCTTCTCATCATGAGAGAAGTCAAATTATATGCAACTTACATTTTTTTTTATCTTTACCTCCAAATTGACTCCCGTTTTTGTTGAGGGCACCACAATCCTTCCAGTCACCCAATGGTATCCTGGGTTCTTCATTCTACCTCAGTCCATATGCCAGTCTTTTGCCAAATCTTTTCAATTTTATGTGGCAACCATGCAAGTTCAGATCTTCATCACTTCCAGCATGGGCAATTCCAATAGCCTTTTATTTGATCTTCCTGCTTCAACTCTTTCTCCTTCTTCTCATTCTTGACACATCTGCCAAGGTGATTTTCTTAAAATGTGGATCTAACCATGATATTACCCTACTCAATAAAGCCCATTGGTTCCCTGTTGCCTCTAGGATCAAATATAAGATCCACTTTTAAAGTACCTCAACAACACGGTCCTAACGTACCTTTCCAACTTTATTATACACTCCTCCCTTTTCTGAATTTTACAGTCCAGTTGAACTAGACTTTTTGGTGTTATTTGCATAAGACAGCCATTTCCCATTTCCAAGCCTTTGTACTAGCTGTCCCTCATGCCTGAAGTACACTTTCCATTTCATATTTGTCTCTTGTAATCTTTTGTGCTCTTCAAAACTCTGCTCAGGCAACACTTTCTACATGAAGCCTTTCCTGATATCCCTGCCTGCTAGTGCCCCCCTTCACCATAAATTTACCTTTTATATATGTTATACACTTCACATACATTTATTTACATACATGTTTCCCCCCGTGGAATGTAAGGTCTTTGAAGGCAGACAGAGATTGTTCCAATTTTTGTAATTTTACCCCTAATTCATAGCATAGTACTTGGCTGTTAATGTGTGTTGAGCAGCAGCGAGGTGGCACAGTAAGTACCAGCTCTTGAGTCAGGAGGCCCCAAGTTCAAATCTGGTCTCAGACATTTGCTGTGTGACCCTGAGCAAGTCACTTAACCTGGATTACCTCTGAAAAAATAAGAAAATAAATGTGTTGATTGACTGATACACTGAAATATCTGATGAGTTAACTTTTCTGATTTTTATTTAACTTCTTAAACTTCGTTTTTCAAGGAAAAAATAAACATTTCAACATTCATGGTATTAACTCAACAAAGGTTTACTAAGCACATACTATTTGTAAGGCTTTGTGATAGATATCCAGGATAGATGTCCAGGGTTCTGGACTTGTTAGGAACACCTGAATTCAAACCCTGCCTCAGACCTTTCCCGATTGTAGGACCCTGGGCAAGTTACTTATCCTCTCAGTCTACCTACCTCATAGGGTTACTGTGAGGATCAAATGAGCAGATGCATGTAAAGCATTTTGTAAACGTTAAAGCACTATATAAATGCTATCCTGTTTTCAAAACGGCAGAGAGGGTATGTATATGAACTGTCACACACAGAACAGTCAGACACGTGCAAAGGAGAGGGCCAGGCAAAGTGCAGAAGCCCATTTGACCTGTCAGAGGGATTGTCCGTTAAGGCAGCACAGAAAATGAAGTTCCATCTAAGTTGGGATTTGAAGAAAGGGAGGGATGTCAACAGGTAGAGAACTGAGAAGAGGCAAGTGACAGTGATGGGGGTAGCACTTTTAAAAGTTAATTATCAAGGATTTAAGGCATCGATTTAATCTTAAATGTTTATATAAATAGCATATTTGTACTAATTTCATTTCATTTCCCCCCCAACAAAAACATCATTTGACATGTCAGTTTCTATTCCTCACAGGTCAGTCTTGATTCTCGAGTGAGAGAGGTGATCAATAGAAATCTCTTGGACCCTAATCCTCACATGTATGAAGATGCCCAACTTCAAATATATACTTTAATGCACAGAGACTCTTTTCCAAGGTTTTTGAACTCTCAGATTTATAAGTCTCTTGTTGAAAGTACTGCTGGCTCTACTTCTGAATCTTAGTTATCATTTTTTTTTTTGGGTGGGCAGGGGTGGGAGGGAATCATTTTGGAGGGCTGGGGTGGGAAATTCAAGTAGTTATATAACATCAGAAGCTGAGTTCCTGGAGAACTACAGTTTAGCACTACTCAGGCTACTGTGAAAAAAATACAACATATTCTGGTCTTTGTCTCCATTTTTACCAAGGTCATTCATGGTTAAGTTTTTTTGGGGAAAAACCAACAATGGAGTTGCCAAATGACATGTATTTTACACACCACTCACTTTAATTGCAAGCAAGATGTATTTGTAGTCCTATGAACAGTCTTCTTGTGTATCCTCACATTGCATGTGCAAGGTAAAGCTGCTTCATTTGCCACTTAGTTGATGTAATATTTAATCCAATAACATAACTTATCTCTGTATTTAAGGACATTTTGTGCAATATGGTCTTACATAGAAATAATTGCGGCAAATCAGCTGAGGGTTTGCATTTTTTTTTAGTATAAACTACTACCGAAAAAGCCAATTTTTAAAGTGTAACAATGGGATTCAATATGCTATACTGCATTCAATACACTGATTTTGAAGCCAATATTTCTGTAAAAAAAAAAAAAGAGCTATTTATCGCTGTTTATTTAAAAAAAAACAAAACATCATGGGGACTTCCTCTGGTTGTTCACTGCCAAAACTGTGGCATTTTCGTTACAGAAGAGTTTGCAATGTCAAAAAAAAAAAAAAAAGCACAAACCATTTGAAGGGATCATGTTTCAATGACAAAATCTATGCGCTGATTTTGTTTTTGTTATAAGGAAACAGAACCTGTGTACATTTCAGATGTCAGATACTGTAATTGATTTATTAAAGACTGGCTATCCAGTTATAACACTGTTGTGTAATGTTATGTACTTCAGCAAGGGAAAAAAATAGGTTGATACTTTAGTTTTGGAATATGAAAGATTTAATAAAAGATTGCCTACATGTAGCATTTTAAAACATTTTGATGAATAGCATCTGTCCTGTGGCATATTTTTCTTGAAGACAAATCCCATGAAAAGCTGTTTTTAATCAAGGGTTTTGAAGAAAACATATAGCTGCTTCAGACATAGTGAATTTTGAAATAGTTTCTCAAGAGCAAGAAGTTTCCAGAAATAAGAACTGTTAAATACCAAATAAATTCTCAATGGGAAAATCAAAAGACAGTGCAGCACTTGAAGGTTTTGCTGCTCAGATTCTTCTGCAGGTATGAAGAAAGAAAGAAAGGAAGGAAGGAAGGAAGAAAAGGAAAGAAAAGGAAAGAAAGAAAAAGAAAGAAAGAAAGAAAGAAAGAAAGAAAGAAAGAAAGAAAGAAAGAAAGAAAGAAAGAAAGAAAGAAAGAGAAAGAAAGAAAATAGAGAAAAGAAGGAAAGAAAGGAAAAAGAAAGATCTTGCCTGATGTGGGTATGCACTTTTGACATTCAAGAAAACAATACCCTGTAACGTACAAAACACCATCAGCTTCATATTTATATCAAAGTGTTATGTTATAAATGTTAATATCCCCTGGAGGCTATTATTTTTATTGTAAACTTGGTGAAAATAACTATGTGACTTGGAAGGAAAGTTGAAAAATAGTTATAACCACTTGAGAACACTGGCCTTATACTAGGGATGATATTAAAATTTTAGGTTTTCTTTTTCATTTTCTTTTACTACCTCTCATTTATTTTTAATTTATTAAGCATATTTCAAAAGAGCAGTTTTGGAGTTTTATTTTACAACTTATTTTACTTGAAGTCTGACATTACAAGTTTTTGTGTCCTTGAATCCAAAACATTTTAAAACTGTTTTTAAGTGAATTTGATTTTGTAATTAATATAGAATTCAGGAGCTATTTAAAGGGCTATTCTCTACTCCCTATGCAAATATTTTAACTGTTGTAGTGTTTGACAAAATGGGATTAAAAAAATCCAGAAAAACAAAATATTCTGTTTACACTGGCGTTGCTGACTATCCTATCATATTCAGCACTTTTAAATACATTGTTATTTATGAAAATGTAGTTAAAATGCAAGACATAAAATATTTATAACAAACATTTCTTTTAATAAATGCCTGTTTTGTCTGAAAATGTTACTGTGTTATGACATACTTTATTCATGTTGGTTAGTTATTTACCATATGAATAAAAGTTTTTAGTATTATACTAATAGACTCATAGCTATGAATATGTTTACAACAATAGATAATTCATATTTTTTCCTGAAGAATGAAGAAAATACTAGAAAGAATCACCACTTCTACTGTGAAGTTCTATTGTTCCTGAAATGATTTAAACTTTTTTTTTCTGAATTAGTATTACATTGGTTATACTACTACTGTGTACACATACACACATATGATATGGTGTATTTTCATACTTGTTATGATGTGGAGGCACAATAACATTGGTGCATAGAACTAAAAAACATGTAAAATACTATTACATATATTGCATGTATAAATCTTTTAAAAAGTAGACTTTATATTCTTGATGTTACTATTTGATGGTGACCTGATAGTCAGAAGCTATCTTTATAAGATACTTTGGACCATTAGATGAATTGTCTGTTTGACAATACTTTTACCATTTTACCAAATCTAAACGTAAGGGCCCTTATAAAAAACAATATTGATCTCTAATATTGGAGTTCATAAAGTATATATTTTGAAATAGGTGCATTCTTTTGGAATTGTTTAGGTAGTTATCTTGTGGAGGAAACTGGAATAAGTTTACACATTAATTTTTTTTTTACAACTGTGTGAACATTTCCATAATAAACTCCTATTTTCAGGGGTTTAAGATTTAACCACAGAACCCTGAAGTTTCTTCCTAGAAGTGGTGTCTGTATATTTTGTGCTCTATCAAGTTTAAAGAAAAAAAAAAGTCTGCTTTATATTATGTTTGTTATATAAATAAAACAGGAAACAAAAGCAAGAAACAAAAAAAGAAAAGCCCAACAATTTAAGTGGTGTCTATACTACCATTTCAATAGCACAACATCTGTTTTAGCATTCTAAATTCTCCTAATGTATACATCATTTTTAAGGAAAAATGAGGCCCCTTGGAAGGTGCAAAAATATACTTTAGGCCACCAAGGTGGTTTTTTTGCATGCTGCTATAGGACACTAACTACAGTGGTCTGAAAATGGTTACTGCACTTAGAGTGCCCAAAATGAGCTGTGTCTACATTGGAAAGTGAAGGAGAGATCATCCTCTGGAGAGTTCAGACAAAATGCCCTGATATTGAGAAAGGGGACTTTGATTGTCAGAATTTTCCAGAATGACTATCTGCTTACAGATAACAGTAACAAGATTATTACTTATCTCTCCACTTTATTTATCCTAAGTAGACAGATTTACTCCATGGCTTTTTATACTTTGAGAGGGTCTGGATAAACAAACTTTTTTTTTTTTTAATTTGCAAACATGTAGGGTAGTTGTTTTGTCAGAATTATATGAGTTGAGTGAATCTTGAATCCGGTGCAAATTCCAGCCATGGTACATGCAGATTGAAGCATTATGGGCACATTTGTATGTACTTGTAATAAGAGCTAAGAACAATTTTGATCTCAAAATTAGTGTGGACAAGAGCCAAGACCACAATGTGGTCTTTTTTTTCCTTTTGGCTGCCTTTTAAAAATTGTAAATAATGAAGATAATCAATTTTGAAAATTGTTTAGAGTGCATGGTGGGTAGGGGGACTGTTTATTAGTATCCTTTAATACTGCCTAAGTATTTACTTGTGGAATGAAATATATTAATGTGTGTTTTCCTGATAATTCAGTATTTCAGAAGGATAATAGGAACAGGTAAATAATGTGCATTTATTGAGAACAAAAATTAAACTCATATTCACCCTGGGACTGAACTTTAACTGGTACCTGGTTCTGGGATTTGAACTACACAATTTTATCTTTCTAAAATGACAATTTTCTATAAAGCCAAGTAGCATTATGACTGTAACAATTTGCAAAATATCAGAGGGTCATAGATTTGGAGCTAGAGGAACTTTAAAGCTTATCCATCCCAATCCTATCATTTTACAAATGAGGAAACTGAGGGCTAGAGATGTTAAGTGACTTGCCTAGGATTGCACAGGTAGTTATTAGCAGAGATTGGATTTGAACCAACCAGGTTCTCTGATTCCAAATCCAGTGTTTTGTTTTTGTTTTTTTTTTCCTACTGCACTATAAAATATGAAGTAGTTTTGGCCACTGTGAAGGCTGGAAAATAGGAAAGATTTTTACCCCCTAAGTGTGAAGATAAAAAGACTCCTTTTGAAAATGCCTCCTAACATTTTCAAGGAACTTTAGAACTCCTTCAAGAAACAATTGAGCTATTTCCCCCAGTGTGTTCAATACCAGTTATAGTTTGGGAGTAAGAAAATTTTCAAAAAGTGCAACTAGCTCATATTAATTGCCCAGTTAGAATTTATCAAAAACATAATTTTTGTTTCTCTTTGTGGTGGGTTGTTTTTTTTGGGGGGGGAATAGTCTATCATCACTGCTTATTTCCCAACCAAATTGCTTGTTCCAGTGAGCAAGTCTATAAAAAAAAGTTTGATATTTCTTGTCTTAATTGCTGCAACAGTGAATATTGGTAAGATATAACACAATGTGACACATTACAACAAATATAAATCATAAATCTTTTTAGAACTTTAGCTGTGACAATATTAGTGGGGGAATAAAGGAGATTAAAAAGGTATCCTCTAGTCCATCCTAAGAGAATGGATTTACTCTATCCATACTTCAGAAGACTAGAGCTCTTAATAAAAAAAGCTCTTAAAGAGACAATTAATGAGTAAAAGTAAAGGACATTCAAGCTAGCCACAAAAAGTAATCAGATTTGTAGGAACAGTTCTCGAGTGCATTAACTGTGCTCCTCTCCTCACTACTTTTTCTAACACATTTCTTTGTGCTCCAAATATCTGTATATTTAAACTGTTAACCTAAAACTGACTTCTGACAGGGTATTCTTACTGTAAAACAAATAAACCACA